ATTGGAATGAAATATTTTACTTTGTTCCTTTTTTTCTAATACAGTACGGAAATATATAATTATATTATTTGTGGAATAGATTTAAATTATTTTGTTTAATCGAAAGTTAATGTTTAAATTAACAAGTAATAAAACATTTTAGATTGATAACATTTATTAACAAATATTAAAAAATTAATATGTATTTTATATATTTTATATATTTAATAAAAAAACTTAACAACATGTAACATGTAACAAATCATGTAAAAAAACATGTAACATTATTTATAGAAAGAATTGCCAGGTTAAAAAATCCTAACAACGATAAATTCTATAACATAACAAAGAAAAAATACAAATATACGTTATAGAATTTAACATTTTTTTCTGATTTTAATTAGAAATAAATATAAATATCAAGAGAAGATCTACGTACAGTTATTGTTAACAAATTCAAATAAAAAAGTTCTCAAGATATCACAAAAAATTTGCATTAATACAATTGTTGAATTGGCTGAAATCGAGAGGATTTTTCCGTACAATGAATTTCTTGATGGAACACGATAATAAGATAATACGTAATATCCGTGAATTCTATTTCCATCCTTTACCCTTGGAAGACGTATAATGGACCACGTGTTTGTAAATTGGAATATGAACAGGATATGGTTTCGCCACTGGCACAGGGAATTTCTTCTCCACGTAAACGGGATATGGCTTTTCCACAACATAAGGAACCTGTGAAAAAATACAGTGAATATAATATACATGTTTTGTGATACAATCAATTTGAGACTTTCTAATAATTGTGAAGAATAAAATAAGCATAAAGAGAGATTAAAATAAAGAGAGAGAGAGAGAGAGAGAGAGAGAGAGAGAGAGAGAGAGAGAGAGAGAGAGAAAAAGAGGATGGGAATAAGAAATGTTTATTAGATTAAAATTGTTTTAATATCTCGTTTACTCCAATTTCGTACTAATTATAAGTTGAGAAATAAATGAAATATAACTTAAAATATCAGAAATCGAGAATTATACTTACATGCTTTTCGACAACAACTGGCTCTGGTTTTTCAATAGGTATCTCGACGTGTTTAATGACTTCCACTGGATATGGGTGAGGGATTTCGATTGGTACTTTATATGGTTGAGGCACTGGTATTTTAATTTCTTTAGGCACTTCAACAGGCACAGGATGCGGAATAGGTATAGCTAAAAACAAAGCAATTATGCAATTGCATTTAGAATATTAGCATATTTTCTTCACGAATTTTTTAACAATTTCTGTCCTCTACCTTAAGAATAATCTATTGCATTGTGATGATGTGAATAAAATTAAAAAAATTAAATTAATATTATTGAAGAATAAACTTACCAAATTTCTTAATAATTGGAATTTCCACAGTTTTTGTTTTCTCTTCATATGTTGAACCACCATGATCCTCCTCCAAATGGCTAGCTAATACCATGTTGCCAAATAAAGCGATATACAAGAAAATCTGCAATTTTACATAATTTATATTTTGCTTTATAATATTTGTCAATTTTTAATATTAACACAATAATAATTTAAACACACAAGACACTAATTATTACTATTATAAGACTTTCAATAAAAATTTGAAAAAAGTATTACAAATCATGTTAGTTTAGTAATTATTTTATTTTTAAGAATAATTGTAATCGTACTGTGTATGTATACTATTGCTATAAGCATAATAATTTTGCACAATATATAAGTAGAGTTCTCTTTTTTTTATAATAAACTGTCACTTCTTTTATTGTATCAATTAACACTGCTTAACACTTTAAACACACAATTATTGCACGGTATGCAAGTGAATGAATCTTACAATTATATTCATGTTGATTGCTTTTATGGGGGCTAGTAATGCACGAGAAATCAAGCATTGAATGACTATGTCCTCCAAAGACCGACTTTATATACAACTTCGATTCCACCACCTTTCACTAAAATCCTGATAGAGTTTCAATTGCCCAGGATATATCACGTTGCATTTTGCATCGTGCAAAAATATTTATCGAAAGGATTCTATCCTATTGACAAGATAAATATAAGATTATGCGTACTCGCGTGAAAAACTATCTTCTTTCTTTGGAGATGTATCGGTCTATTGCGATGCGACATGCGTCTTGCACATAAATTACACTATGATTATGCATGTATACTACAAAACGATAAAAACAAAGAAAGTATTTATAGATGATAAGCAATTCGTGATTTGATTGCGCCATTTTACAAAAACTATTTTTTATAGAAATTAAAAAACGAGCATATAGCCAATTAATTATAAATTATTTTCATTTGTATTAATTTTCTTATGATAAGGATAAGATATTAACTCATTGTAAATAATTTACAATTTAAATCAGAATTTAAGGTGAAATTTAATTTTATCTTAAATTCTCATTTAAATTGCATTACTTATTTGGAGCACTAAATAGCAATGGTTTTAATACAATACTTAAAATAAATAATTAATTACCTTTGTTCAATACTAAATTAATGAATATTAAATTGGCCAGTATTAAATTTCTGTAAAGGCTATTTCTGCTCGAAATTTTCGAAAATTTAACATTAACGTTTAGATTAAGTTATATTGCGTGTTATATTATATGCGTGTATGTTGATGCAAAATTATAGAAAATAAACTGTTAAAAATTTTTAATCTATTTTTTCTTTTTTGTACATCTTTTTAAAAAAATTCTAATAAATCGGTATTTTTTATCATAATTTAATAGTAAGTGTCCTACAATATTAATTAGTTTTATATGACGTAATGTATTTTAGAAATAATCACGATATTCTAATTTCATTATTCGATAATGTATAGAATAAGCTATTATTATTTGGGATGTAATCATTCAATTAAATTAAAGTAAGCATTACATAATTACCATGAGTTTAACTCAATTGTTCAAGAGAATGCAGCATACAGCAGACAGATGTGTAAACGTTAAGATTCCGTAGGAGAACAATTACAGAGATATCTTTAGGCAAATGTAAACGAGTATTATTGTTATTATACGTTTACCGGAAGTGAAGGTATCATGCATGTACAATCTCCGAGACTTTCCGACATCCCTGTGGGGTGTATTAAATTATGTTAAATGACTAAGTTGGCTATGAATGAGTCTAAATTTACGAATAACGAAACGTTTCGGTTGTTACTCTATATAATTACTAATTTTCTTGAGACAAATAATTAGAATGATTAACCAGAAATATTTTTTATCGCAATTTGGCTTGATAAAATACAAGAAAGGAATGCCCAACGGATATATGAATTTGATTTCCATTCACTTACATAAATGCAAACCTTCCGGGAGTCATACAGCAAGGTAGTTCCCTCTGTATGTTGTTCTTAGATTCAACTAGGAAGTGAACGCAAAGCATACTCCTGCTAGGAGAGACGTTTCCAGACGATATATTTTTTGATACATTAGAATGAAAGTACGAAACACAACGCCCCGTGAAAGGGTTCCGGAACACCGATCGAAAGACATTCAACATTCGACTGTGAAAGGCGACGTGAAATAATCTTTAAAAATGGATTAATACTCGAAAATATCCAATACTCAATAACTGACATCCGATAAAATAAAAAATTATGATATATAATAAAGAGTTTGTTGCATCTGCAATATTAATAGCAAAAGAATAATTTTCGAAAAATTCGGATTGAATAAATTTACAATCTTATGCAAATAAATGCATATCTTATTTTATTTTTAAAATCTTATCCTCAATCCCCTGAAACAAATGTAAACATTAATGCCAGTGAGGGACAAATTAAAAAAATATGTTTACATTTAAAAATATTTTTGAATAACATTGTTTAAAAAATATATTGAAACGATATTAGGTGAAAATATGAATATATTGAAACGATATGAACCGAAAATGTTTAACACAAATAAATATCTTATTCAGTTAATAGTTAGCAAGTTTTTAGTGTTTAATAATGTTTTTTGTGTAATTTTTTTATAATTTCCGATTCAAGCAAATTGCGCGCTGTTTATTTGTTGGTCTTGAAACACAGTCTAGATTGAAACTGGAGTATGAATATTATAAATTATAAATTGACAAACAATTTAATATTACTGATTACTGAAATACATTTTAATAACTAACTACTATTATGCAATTATTTATCAATAATATATAATTATTTATCAATGGTTTACAATTATTTACTATATATTTTTATCCTTGCATATTAAATACATTGAGGTGCAATATCTTGCAAAAAGAAACGATTAATTAAAAAATAATGATTACAACAACTATTAGAAACATTTACTAACGAATCATTAGCAATATTGTAATGTTTTAGTTTTTACACAATCATGAAATTCCGGTTAATTATTCACGTGGCAGGTTTATTATACATGAAAGGAAATGTATTTCTAATGCGTGGAGAAACTTCGTGATTTTGAAACGAAGACCATCTCAATTAATGTCCACGATAGAATGATATTGCTAATTCGCTCTCATGGAAAATTGGACGAAATTTACGACCGCTGAAACTCATGATTTGTCACTCACGGGAGTTTAGGTCCGCGCTCTAATTTGATCTCAATTATATAGTCATCGGTATATTAATATCACAACAAACAAGCACTGACCTACAACCTCTGACATTGGAGAAAGTATTTTGGTCGTGCTTTTTAAACATGACAGAAATTACATCGTTGAAGTCAATTAATCTTCGTATTATTACTACGTAATAAATATTTACGTAATATTAATTTAGTTCAAAATTT